TCGACTCGCAAGTAGTTATCTTGAACCAAGAAGTATCTGAGCTCTACCAGCATGTAGCATGTTCGTGCACGTTCTTGTTCACCTGCAGTCTGAATCTGCCATCTGGGCTACAGACGGGTCTTCGTTCTTGGAAAGTCGTAAGAAAAGCAAGCAAGGCTCAATTTACACTGGGGAATCTTCGACACAAGAGACGCCAGGTTTGTTGTGGTTTAAGTCAGACATCCAAAAAGGAAATATGGCCACATGGCGCCCACCGTGAGCGAATTGGTCTCAAAGGCTTGCTCCCGACTCCCACCACCGCGGTCATCTAATGACCCTCTTCATTCCGCTGGACTCCTCAGCGGACACTCCTACCTCACCGTCCTTTTTGCAGGCCTCTGCGAACCCTACTCTCCAGCTGCAGAAAGCTATCAAGGCGATTTTAAAAGCCAAGCGAATTGTAATCGTCTGCGGTCCGTTCACCGTCATCCACACTTTAATTCATCTGGAACTCATGCAAAAGATCTACTATGCAGGAGCCGGAATTTCTGTGAAAGCCGGGATCCCGGATTTTAGGTCTCCAGAGGGACTTTTTCAGACTTTGAAGCGCGACAATCCCAAGGAGGTTCTAGCTTCCGGGAAGGATCTATTCGATGCCTCAGTATTCCATGTGAGTTCCTCTGGCCATTAAACCGTCGAGGAGTTCCGGCGAGGTTGCTCTGGTTGAACCACCTCTGCCAACGGAACTCGTGGTTTTTATCGTTCAAACGCGCCTGACTGGCTTTTCTTCTTGCTTTCAGTCCGAGAACACCACATCTCTCTTTTACCAGATGATCGCCCGCCTCTCCGAGCTTTCTAATGCTGCAGAACCTACACCATTTCACAATATCCTTCGAGCTCTCGACGACAGGGGCAAACTGCTCCGGGTCTACTCGCAAAACATCGACAGCCTCGAACAAAAATGTGGCCTCTCTTTCGGTGTTCCCCAGTTTCAAGAGCGGCGCTCGAAACCCCGTACACCGAAATCCAAGTCCAAACCGCTATCGTCCGCCGCGGTAACAGAAGCCGAAGCGGTCGACGCCGAGCCCGTCGCCTCCACGAGCCGCCTCCCCACGCCGCCCCCCGAAATACCCCGCTGTATCCCGCTACATGGCACCCTCCAGAACGTCCACTGTCAAATCTGCAACCACTCCTTCGCGCTCTCAGACCACCTCGCAGCGCTTGAACTCGGCACGCCACCCGCATGTCCGGAATGCACTGCCATGGAGGAGACGCGCCAGCTCATCGGAAAGCGTGCACGGGGCGTCGGGCGCCTCCGGCCCTCGGTCGTGCTGTATAACGAGGCGCACAAGGACGGCGAAGGTGTCGGCGACGTTGTGCGCCGCGACTTGTTGGGGCTGTCAAATTCGAAGGGCAAGGGGCGCAGCGCGGGCGCGGACCTGTTGCTCGTTGTTGGGACGAGTCTGCGCGTTCCAGGCACGAAGCGCATGGTGCGTGAGTTTGCCAAGGCGGTGCGTGCACACGGGAGTAGCGCGGGATCGAATCGGCCCAGCCCGTCGCCGGCAACTGCGGCTGGGGCGGCGGAGGAGGAAAGGGAGCCCCCGGTCAAGACGGTGTATCTGAACCTCGACTTTCCCGTGCCGACACGCGAGTGGGAGGGCGTGTTTGATGCCTGGCTTCAGGGTGACGCGCAGGTGTTTGCGGAGATGCTGCAGGCGGAGATTGACACAGAGACTCGCGCGAAGCAGGCGGCGGGCGAGAAGCGGCGTCGAAAAGAGAAGGGCGAGACCGATGAGGGGGTCACCGGCGGAAGCGCGGATGGGAAGAAACGCAAGGCGGCGAAAGGGGCGGGGTCAGAATCGAAGCGGCGGAAGACTGCTGATGCTACCGTGCCACTACCCCCGACTCCACCTCGTAGCAGACCAGGGGCGTCGGCGCTGTCGCCGCAGAAAAAGATCTTCCTTACCATCCCGGCACGCCCGTGTCCGTGCCCACGGCTCATCCCTGAAGTGTACATCACCTCCGTGCGGCCCTCGATCTCCCCCCGCCTACCGCCCACGCCAGAGAACACGCCGCCGCGCCCGGCCCGTGCACCGATCAGGGCTGCGCGCCAGAAAGTCAAATCGAAAATCGTGAAGCGTCTGACCGCGACCTCCACCCCAACCCCGCCGTCCGAGCTTGAGTCAGCGGATGGGGACGGGGAAGGGGAAGGGGACGCACTCCCCACGTTTCATGACCCCGACCTCGCGCCATCCCTCGAACTCGTGCGTGAAGCGCAATACGGACTGCGGACCTCGCGCTCGAGTTCTCGTTCGCGCGGATAGGTTGCTCGGTCACTGCTTGACTGTTTGCTTGCTTGGAGAGGACTCAGCTTCGATGAAGGACTGTAAATTATTGTATAAAGGGCCTATCTAGCGTACATATCTACTGTAATATACATATATCCCAGAACAAGACGATGTCATTGGGCGACGAGGTGGCGCCATTTTGGATACCTTTTGACCTCCCCGAAGTACACTTCAGCCAATTTGTGGAAGCCACCAATCAAAGGCTTGCAATGACCGAAAGACGTGTGTCGTTACAATTGTGTCCATAAAAATACATACAATAAACCAAATGGTAGAAACCCCGTTAATTCATACGCAATACGCGACATGTACTCGCCAGACTTTGCCGTCCCGCGAATACAGATTCACCAGCCGTAACTCGGCCACAGAGCGAACAACGATGGCTGCTGCCTTGAGCCCGTGAGGATTAAACGGAAAGTCCTGGTTAAAGTCATAAGCCCATGCTTCATAGTTCAAAGCGAAGTGGTTAGGACCTTGAGGAAGGAGTCAAACGCAGAGGACACCGCGTAGGCGAGATTGAAGCGCGAGATCTGTCGGTGGGAGCAGTTTCCCGAGATTGACTGGACCAAGGTGCTGTACCCCTTCGCCTGTAAGAGAAAAAATTCCTATCAAAACGACGCGTCAAATACAGGGAAGAGAGCGAATACCTCAAGCGTCAAGAAAACCTGATCCACGCCGTTATCCAGGACCGGCGTGTCCGGATCCTTCAAGCACGGCCGGAAGGCGAGAATGTCTGCCATGGAGACACCGAACGCGCGTCCGGAGTAGGCGCTGAGCGTCGGCTGGAACGGAATCATTTTGGTGTCGTGGATGGGCGGCAGAGGGGTCGGGATCTGTTGCGCGTGCGCATAAGGGGACTCTGAGGGTATTGGGCCCCGGGCAGCCGCAGCGGCGCGGCGGTCTTCGATTTCGCGGTCCAGGGCGCAATGCGTGCACTTCGACTCACGCGCGCGCGGTCGCGCGACTTCCCGATCGTATAGGCGGGGCGAGCCGGCGGTGCTCATGACCTAGTAGCGAGTTAGCGAGACACATGGATGAAGTGAGATGAGCACAATTGGTGGTAGTCGCTGATTATTTGTTGAGTGCCTAGCAGGAAACAAGGAGAACTGAGAACTCACGCCTGATTCCCTTGGGTCAGCGTGTGCTGGCCGAGACTCGGACCAGCTTTGAGGTCTCTGATGGAGAGTGGTCAGAGGAAGGAATGTGCAGAAGAAAGTGCATACAGGGCGGAATGGCGCAGGTGACTGCGAAGGGGAAGCGTGGCTTCCCCGGCGAGCTCGTCGCTATGTTGTGGGCAATCAGAACTCCACTGCTTATAATTCCGTGGAACAAACATTTGACGATTCGCGTTCCCGTGCCTCAGCAAAGAGCACACTCCTCTGATGGGAGGTATTATTATTCTGATGGTCAAGATGTAAGTTACGAATCGGAGCAAATGGTTTGTTATTAGCAAGCGTACGCTGGTGGAATAGTTGTCCCTGGCGTGTACATTGGGAAATATAGACGGACTGCTCAGCACATCCTATGGAAAGCGTTAAAATAAAGCCACATGCAGCAGCAGCAGTACGAACCGGAAGACGAGAAGATGCTGAAGGTGCCAAAGGGCGGCGACCAACCTGCAGAGGAGGCGGCGGAGATGCTTGTGGGTGACTCCACGAGGTTGATAAGACGTTCTTGTCTGGGCCAGGCTGCCAGAAAGGTTCAAAGAGCGGAAGACTCGCAAGAGCAGCACGTACAAAGCCAGGCCAGGCTGAAGGTCTGCGGACAGGGGGAGGCGAGGGTTGAGCTAGCTGCCGCTGGAGAACCTCTGCAAATAACACATTGATTGGGGGTAAGGTATGTGATTCATTGGTAGTCTGGAGGGATGAGGATACTACCAACGCATCCGACGATCAAAGACATACGTCGGAGGGTCGGGGATAGGCCATAGGTCCGAGTCCACAGAGATTCCGAAGAGACAAAGAGACAAAGGGGTCCCGATTGACACAAAGCAAAGAGAGCCAGCCAACAAGGCGCGTGGCTATCCCTCAGAGATGGTGGTCCACACAAAGGTAGGCGGTCCAAAAAGACCCCAGATCATCATGTACCGAATCCTGATTATCATGTCGGTTGCTGAGGAAGTTGTCCGGGTTTACATTCGAAGCTAACGCCGGTGAAATTAAATATCAGAGAACCACTGCAAGCGATTGATACACGAGGATGACCCAGCTGACTCTGAGACAATAGCGTTAGCTGCTGAGCACAACGATGTTGAAGAGAGAGCGAAATAAGTATTGCCACGGTTCAAGTTCAACTCGCGTCAACAAGCATTCAAACTCCGCCACTCCTCCCACCATCTCGCGCAATTCACGCGGTTCTTACGCGTATTTCTCTCATTTGTCGCCTTTGTTACAGGCGCACGGCATTCGGACACGGTTTTCACTCGCGAAGTGACCCAGACCTAAAGCGAGGCGACGTCTTATTGTCATCAGACCGTTGATACTGATCGCGAGTCAGGCTGGCTTTCTTTGGAATCGCGTCTTGGGCGCCCCATACACGCATCACTGGGAGAATATTCAACCAAGGTTCAAAGTTGGGAAATATTCGGTTGCGAATGGATTGTGCAATGCTCGTCAATTCCGAGGCAAATGGGACTAGAAGGGACCTGTATGAACTAATTGGCCATTGAGACATGGCCGTGTGGCAAAATGGTTACTGCGTTGCTTTCCGATTATCATTGGTAGGCAGAGACTGTGGGTTCGAGTCCCACCATGGTCGTTTCTTTTTGCATCATTTTGGCAGACTGACTGTCTTATGGGTATTCACTGTGGTTGAATCATGTTTTGGCAAGTGGGCAGCTGCAGTTGCATCCGGGTTTCTGGGCAGAATTAAGGTTTCTTTCCATTTCTTCATGATACAGAAAACATATACAAAATTGGATTACAACAGGGAAATTCCGAACGATATGCGTTACACTGAGTTACTGCCGTGCCCCTGTTCTTAGCCAAAAGGACGGGAACTGTGGCCAGCTAAGTTTTCAAAATGTTGGGGTGTCGAAAGTATCGTCGTGATCTGCAATTCGTGCAATTGGTACACATAGAAATGGGATAAAGAGAAGCATGGCGCACCTTTGCCATTGGCATAGATGTAGTCTTTTTCCTTCGCCGCGAGATGTTTGATATAGGACTCGTGCTTGTGCGCGCTCACCGCAACTTTGGGATTTGAGAGCGCGCCGCCGCGAATGGCAGCGGCGGCGACGTCGAAGCGCGAGGTGTGGTTGCAGAGCATCATCTGTATCCAGGTTAGCCGAGCCAGACCAACAACAAACGGCTACGGAAGAGGCGTACATCAAACGGCGACGTCGTCGTGCCCTCCTCGCGATACCTGTCCCGAATAAATCAGCTGAGCGCAATCTCAAAAGCAAGAACACCGCGCACCCCTCAATAGACACCCTGTCGAGCTTGGGCCGCCCAAAAAGCAGGCCTTTGAGCTCGATGGTGTAGCCGTGGTAGTTGAAATGGATCGGCTTGTCCGGTGTGAAGAGCGAGTCGAACGCCTCGTCGCTGAGCGCGTGTGGGTGGGATTCGGTCGCGCTGAGGATCATCAAGTCCGTAACGTTCACGACGCGCACGCGCAGCTCGGGAACATGTTTACGGAGCAGGGCAGCGGCAGCGATGACCTCGAATGTGACTTCGACGCCGATCCCGACCAGGACGCTGGCGGATAAGGTGAGGGAGATTAGAAAAGAGTAGTACGCCGTGGTGCTCACACGTCAGGGTTAACGCCATCGTCGACACTTGCGAATTTCCAGACAGAAGCACCGGCAATGCAGTGCTGTCGCAGTGTGAGTCTCGACAGAATGTTTCAATACAGTGGGCTTATGTACCTTATCCGCCTCCTCGGGCGATAGCCACACCGGCGTCGGCTGCTTGCTGCCCACCATGAGATTCACATAGTTCTTCGCCCGCAGACAGTGCGCCATCGTGGACAAAAAGCAGTTGGAATCGGGTGGCAGGTAAACGCGCGCAGTCGCAGGCTTGAGATTGAGGACAGCGCCGATGAAGGCCCTTCGGGACAGTCAATGGGCATACGCAAGATAAGAGGGGAATACACACGGATTTTGGTGAGAAAAGCCGTTGTGCTCTTGACGTGCCCAGGTAGACGTCTCGAGGTAGTTCAAAGACCCGCAAGGCTGGTGCCAGGGTATCTCGGACGCCTACGTAAAGTCTTCAATTCCAGGTAAAGCAAACAGGGAACAAGGGGCCTACTATCTTGGTGAACTTGCTATACTGCACCATCATCGTTTGCACGATTCCTATACGTGGCGAATTAACCTTGATTCAAATCCCAAGAAATAAAACGCACCAAGGAAGGCTTCGTAGCTGGGGAACAGCCCCGTTCGGCCGGTGAGGGTGTAGCCCTGGAGCATACCCTGGCAGGTGTGCTCGGACAGAATTTCAATGATGCGGCCGCCTTTGGAACGGGACTCGCAGTCCCACTGGAAGTTGCGAGACGACTCGTCAAGCACCGCGTCTAGCTTGTTGGAAACCAGTTCGTCCGGGGAGAATATCCGGAACCCATGTGGGTTTCTGGGAGAAACATGAGCTATCGCACCGAACAAAGATGAATGTCAAGGCGCACTCTTTGACGACAGCTTTGAGGAGCCGCCCGACCGCTTTCATACAGCTCTCCTGCGTGCCTTTCTCGGCGCAGAAACCCTCCCACTCGGGGACGTTCAGCGGCGCGTACGAGCGGAAGGTCTCCTTCTTCTGCCCCAGCCGCTGCTCTGCGGCTTCGGGAATGATGCTGAGGACCTCTGGCACGGGCACACCGTCGGGAGTGAACAGTTCTTCGGGACGGTAGGACTTGAGCCACTCCTGCAGTGCCTTGAGCTCCTCATCGGAGCTCTTTGCGCCGGGCAGGGGCACTTGATGCGAGTGGAACGATCCCTCGATGAACTCGCCGTGGAAGGATTTTGGACCGCCGAGGCCCTTGGGTGAGCGCAGAACGAGGACGGGCCAGCGGGGCTTGACGATGGCGTTCCCGCTGCGCGCGGCCTTCTGAATTTTCTTGATCTCCGCGAGGGCCCAATCAAACGAGACTGCGAGGTTGTTATCGATGTTTTCAACGTCCTCAATAATGCGAACTTGGTAACCGTACCCGCTGAGGAAAAAATATGAGTTAATGCGATGAGGGTGGGATGAGATTTCCATACCTGAAGAGCGCGGTGATCTCCTTGTCATCCATCGTACCGTAGATGGTCCGTTCGGAGATCTTGAAGCCATTGACATGCACAATTGGCAGGACTGCACCGGACTCTGCTGGGTCGATGTACTTGAAGCCATGCCACGCCGCAGCAGTCGGCCCTGTTTCCGCCTCACCATCCCCTACCTAAGATATTTGTTAGCGTAACCGATGATATCAATCATATCTTCGTACCACACACGCTACAACGAGGTCTGGGTTATCCATGACGGCACCGAAAGACACGCTGAGAGCGTAGCCGAGTTCTCCGCCTTCGTGGATGGCACCGGGTGTGCCCGCGTTAATGTGACTGTACTAGCGTCAAATCTACCGCTGCGCGTACAAGTTGAGTAAATCTAACCTCGGAAAGCCACCTGGGACGCTGAAACTTGCGATGAGTTTCTCGAGACCCTTGCGGTCGCGAGTCATTTGAGGATAGAATGCGGAGAGCGAGTCCTCGATCCACAGGGAGGATAGGATGGCGGGAGCGCCGTGGCCTGAGAAAGTTAGCAACACGGGTCAAGACACAATGAGCACTGACCTGGCCCGACGACATACAACGCATTGAGATCCGTCTTACGGATGAGCCTGTTAAGGTGTGCGTATACCATGACAAGGCCAGGGCATGTTCCCCAATGGCCCAGTAACCTTGCCTTGATGTCGTCTGGAGTAATGTCGCGCTCGACGAGCACGTTGTGGTTGAGGAATATCATAGCTGCTGCGATATAATCGGCAGTCCGACGAAAGAGCTTTAGACTTTTGAGCTCATCGTCCGAGAGGTAATTCTTAGTGTCCAGCTGGACACCTAGCTCGAGGACAGAATCAGGTAAGAGAGATGAGTCCGCCGGTGGATTAGCCTGTAGAAGGATCTGGCCTGGCATTGCAACAGCTGAGAGGTAGCAGTATTGGCGATTTTGCCTTCTTCAAGTTGTTTTATATCAAAGCGCGTCATGCCAGACCAGTTCCAGTCTCCTGTGGTGCAGCCAATGACGATAATTCTGCGAGTTCGAATTCCGGTATAATAGTTCTGGATCACTGCCGCACACGGGACTTTCCGGACCTCTCTTGTTTCTTCTCAACTGACCCGTATTGAGCCCGTCTCTAGCTCGTTCTAGCTCCCTTTCGAACCTTGCAAAAACCCTTGTCCTTGCAAGAAAATGAATCCACTCTCACTGTCGCCGGCTCGACTCTGAAGCATATCTGTTCTTGCCGTCAGCAGTGACGCAGACCAGAAATAAAATTGGCACCAGACTGTCTCTGGAGCGTCCATGTGGCTCTATACGGTATAGTATACGTCATCAAAACGCGCCCTTTAGAATGCTCGACGACCCGTTCTTGGTCTCTGCAATATCGAATGTCGACCAAAAATCTCGTGCTGTCTGTTAATGCTGGGTCCTCCTCCCTCAAAATATCTCTGTATGGCACCCAGCACAGCGGCGGCGATGAACTCGAGCCAGTGCAACTGATACTCACGTCTTCGATTTCCAATATCTCTGCTCCGCCAGCAAAATTCTCCTTCAAGGTTTCCGGTGGCACCAGCAAAGATGAACAGCTGTCGTCGGTCCATGACCACGCCTCAGCGTTCGCGCATTTTATCGACTGCCTTGGCCGTGAAGCAGATATTGATCGTGCTCGAATCACTCATACATGCCATCGCGTTGTTCACGGCGGTGATTATACTGACCCAGTACTGATCAACGACGAGGCGTACAAGCACATCGAACGACTCTCGGATCTCGCACCTCTGTACGCCCCCCTCCAAGCTGGTAGTAAATTAACCATTATTCATGTCCCACCAAGCCATAACGGCTCTTCCCTCCCTGTCATCAAGACTTGTCTTTCGCAAATCCCAGACGCCAAATCAATCGCATTTTTTGACTCGGCATTCCACCGCTCGATCCCAGCCCATATATCCAGCTATGCTATCGACCAGAAGATCGCGAAACAGCGTGGCTTGAAGAAATATGGCTTTCACGGGCTGAGCTGTAATTATATGTTATCCTATCCTACCCCTCGGCTGACCTTTCATTTTTAGACTCTTTCATCCTTCGATCGGTCTCCCGCTTTCTGCAAAAGGTTCTACCGGTTAATTTCAAGTACTTACCCCGCTAATCCCCGCGCAGCCAGCCGAATCTCTCAATCTCATAGTTTTACACCTCGGTTCCGGCGCGTCAGCGTGCTGCATCCAGCACGGCCAGTCCCTTGACACCTCCATGGGCCTCACCCCGCTCACCGGCCTCCCCGGCGCCACCCGCTCCGGCGCAGTCGACCCCTCGCTCATCTTCCACTACACCAACAAGGCCGGGCGCATGTCGCACGACAAGGGTAGCGCCGTGCAGCTGCACGTCACACAGGCGGAGCACATTCTCAACACGCAGGCGGGGTGGAATGCCCTCGCGGGCACGACGGACTTCGCCGCCATCACGGCGCAGAGGAAGGACGACGACGCGGCGCGGCTAGCGTTTGAGATGTTCGCAGACCGGATCCTCAATTATGTGGGATCATACCACTTGAAGCTGGGCGGCGCGGTGGAC